ACATGTGGGCGAGTAAATAACATTTTTTATTTATTTTTACTATTCCTCAAGACGTTCCTTAATGGTTCATATTCAGACTTATTTATATAAAGACTTATATAAATGTTACAAAATGATGTGTGCGCGGCAGGCATGTTGATGAGTAGAAGCCGACAGATCCGACAGCTGGATTTGAGACATGGCGTTTATGTCTTGCTGCTTGACCTCATTCTCTAAACACTTTGCACTTGAGATTGGTGCCAGCCCTAACACAGGCTTCGAGATGTGAGGTCAGAGCTTGCAAAGGAGTGGAGAGGACGTTGTTTGTCCCAGTCGATAATGCAGAGGCGCCGTTGCTTGCCTGTCTGTCAGGGACAGCTGTTTGTGTTTGCATTCGGCCATGTGTATGCATGGCAAAGACACCTAAACAGTCCTAGCGCTGCAGAGCTGTCACTGTTTGTCACATTCACGCGCAGCGGGACTGTTTTTGAAAGGGTGCCAGGCCGGAGGACATGAGCTGGAGCAGAGGTTAAAATAACCCCCTGAAACTGACGCACGGAACAGGATGGCAGCCTGACGGTAATTGGAGGATCGTGGCAGCTTTCTCTGCTGCTCTTTTGATGGGGAGGAAGTTGATCCACTTAATGTCAAAGCCCATGTGAACGTGCCACTGGATACGTTACGAGTGATCAGAGAGCGATTGACAACCGCAGACTCTGTAACAACATGTCTTGATTTTTCTAGTCTTGCATTAATTGCGTTTTACTTTCATGATGTACACATAAAATGCTCATCCAGAACCTACTGGTTTTTCTTTTATAAGCAATTACATGTCCAGCCAGGGCCAAATCACACATAGCGGCATGTCAGGGCCCACGGAAACAATTTGATTGTGTTTTTTTTACAGCTGTTTTGTCAGCTCTAAACGGAAAGAAGAGAGGCCACTTAAGACCATTTTCTAAGCCTAGCCATGTAGCTGTCGGATTACAGTGATTTTCTGTCATTCTCAGTCTGGGCTGGATTATGGGTAAATCCCATGAGTGACCCAACACTGCTTTAATACAGACCCTCAACCAGCCACTATGTTTGAAATTTATGTCAAAACAGCCTGTCCAGTCCTTGAAACAGTGTACTCTTGAGGGTTTTATCCAGAGAATAGTAGGGACAATCAAATTGTCCCAGACGAGAACCCCTTTGAGAATGATGGCCTGGTTATGGCAAGATATTGTTGAAAAAATGTATGCACACATACACAATATTGGACGATATTGGGAAATGGGATGAGACTGGGAAGAGGCCCAAGCTGAATTTTGCAGGTGTGACACCTGTTCATGTCTCCAGCCATATGTGACATCTGGATGCGGTATTTGCCATGGTTCATTAATGAATAATGATTATTTCTCCTATTTTTGCATTTACATTGCCTTTGCTTTCATCTAAGGGTACAGTTTACAAAACAATGGTGTAGTAAAAATGGACTTTGCATTTTTCCCATACAAAGGACTCCATTGTCAAAACAATCCCCGTTCGGATCTGCGAAAGCGATTAAAAAATGCTGCATTATGCTGCCAGGCCAGTAGTTGGCGATGTCACTAGTAGAAACACTACACGACTATAGACTGAATATTTAATTCGCAAGCGCATGACGTCACCATTTTCACAAATTTGTGCTTTTGTAGTTTACACAGAGACGATATCTGTATCGTTTTTCAAAAACTTGCACTCTGAAAGTTTGCATTTTCAGGTCCCCAGTTTTTGTGTAAATAAACGGCAAAAACACAAAAAGTTTTACATTTTAAGTTGAAAATGGTGTCGTGTAAACGGCCCCTGACACTCACTAGAAGTTAATCTTTTAAAACAGGAATCATTTAATAACAAATCTCAAAATGAATATCCATTTTTCTTACTGTACATTATAATGCTGTGATGCCTACAAACTCACTTGTATCAAATGATTGATTTTAGTTTGCGTTTTACTTTTAATACTTTTAGTTTCCGCCATTTATCAGTTATCAGACATTTTAAGCAGATTTTCACAATTTTGTGATTGTGAAGGCCTCTTATAGGCTCTAGGAATAAACATAGGTAAATATTTAAATGTGCAGTAGTGCTAACGCAGCACCACAAGGAAGATTTACGTTTGGAAAAACTGCTGCTTGGGACTTCAGTGCCGTTAATAGGCTAGCAGTTTAGTTTAGGATTACTGTAAGTCAATTGAGTGCATAAATTGAAATCGTGTTTTCAAGCAGCAGAGAGACATCGTGACTCATGGGGTTCACCATACCCTTAAAAACCAGCGAATATAAAATAGTAGCTGCACGTTCCATTTTAGATTGTTTTCCGTTATTTCTTCTTTTAACAAGGTTCATTAGCCTCAGCATCTGCTCATTCCACACTCTCTAAAGGCCATTTATCTATTCCTGTTTTGAAATATCTTACTGTTGTTCAACATTAAACAAGCCTGCAGAGATAATTTGATAAGTAATGAGTTGCTCTCTTCACTTCTCGTGTAGATGAGGGTGGTTGGACTCTTTCTGATCCTCTAACCTACATTTCTTTGTGATATGTTATCATTAACATTAACCCAGAAATGTTGCTGTATTCCTAGTATACGGTTCTGCACTCTAAGCAGATTCTGCGCTTTAAATGCTCTGTGAAGACTCATTTAGAGACATAAATCTGTGTTGTATTAGATCATTTTTAAAAGAATTAATGTGTTTCTGTTCCACCAGATGTTCTCCCATTTGGTCACCAAAATAGCACATTATCTTTAAAGACAAGGGATATAAATTAAAAATGTGTCAGAATATCTGCATACGCTATGTGTACCATGTAAAACATCTCTATGACAACAGCTCATCAAATCTATACAGACAAAAAGCCATTCATTATTTGTAAGGGCTTGTTTTTTCAGCACTGTTCATTATTTTGATTCAAAGTCCAGTCAAAGTCATTCAAAACAACGTTTGATTATATACAGGTTTTTGTGAGGTTTTCCCCATAAAATAGGGTTCTGAGCTCTGAATTAAGTACATAATGTGATTGAAAATTCTCATCTTCAAGAACTTTTTATAGTATATTAAGAATGTGTAAGAATAATGGCACAAAAAGACTTAATTCTGTCTCACTAGCCGCGTTTCCATTACAGACTTTTAACTTTTAACCGATGCTATTCGACTAAAACGTCATTTTTTCATATCATTTCAAGTCATTCCAAACATCATGGCAACAGATGTTGGTAGGTTTGTGTATATCCCAGCCACCGCACTAGACATTATTTTTAATCAAAGGAGACGTAGGCGTGTTAATGGCAAGGAACGCCCCTTAAGGCCATTGCACACTGAAGTCCGAAATTTTTGCATGCGTTTTTCGTATTCGTGATTCAGTGGCTGTGAATTGTCAAAACACCATTCAAACTCCATTCAAACTGCTTGCTACGGATGCGAAAAACGCAGAAAATCGAACCCGATCCGATTTTTTTTATGACGGACGAAAGTTTCGGAGGCAGTGTGCAAGCATGATTGACTTAACGTGAGGTCGATTTTTTTTTTTTACGTGCGAAAATTTCGGATGCGTTTTTTCGTATTCGAGATTCGGTGGCTCTGAATTGTCAAAACATCATTCAAACACCATTCAAACTGATTGCTACGGATGCGAAAAATGCAGAAAATCGAACCCGATTCGATTTTTTTTATGACGGACGAAAGTTTCGGAGGCAGTGTGCAAGCGTGATTGACATAACGTGAGGTCGTATTTATTTTTTAACGTGCGAAAATTTCGGATGCGAATTTCGGACTCAGTGTGCAATGGCCTGCCTGTACTTGGGAGTGGCACATGAGGTGTTTTTCCCTCCTATCTGCTTCAAGGTTTTGATACATTTTGGCATTTTTTTGTTGTTTAGAATCCATATTCCTGTCATACTTTTGTCTTTTATAAGTTTAATAAAGAACTCTGTCTCGTCTTCTGTCCAAGCATACCGCATCTTCTTTAAAGAATGATCGACTTTTACGTAAGCCAGGTGACCAGTGAATGCGGAAAAACTGTTTCCATTGCAGTTTTGCGAAATATTCCTTTTTCAAATTGCCTGAAAAACCACCTCATACGGGCGTAAAAACTTTTTTGCGATATATGGGAGTTTTTGCAAAATTGACGTGTTTCCATTGGCCGTATTTTCAATTAGCAATGTTTAATTTGCGCAATTTGAAGGGTAATGGAAATGCGGCTATACTGTAGTGTTCCTCAACTCACTTAGCGGCCATCTTGGTAATGCCTCAGGCAGATATTTTCTATGTAGCATTTATCAAACTTTAATAAGAAAACACTCTAAAATAGTTTGTCAAGATTAAATTCCCGTAACATATGTCTAATCGGAATTAGAATCTAAAAATGTTATCACGAATTTGCCTTTTTTTAATCTCAAATTGTGCTAAAAATGTAACACAACATTTTAGAAAAAAGCAGGCGATCTAGCATCTATAGCAGGCATCTATAAAAAAAATGATTTGCTCTTTTAAGATGAGACTTTCATTCTTATAGCAGCCATATTGAGACATTTCTCCCGTTCATTTATGTATGGTCCATCTTCTGCTCCTTATACACTCTCTGGTATAGTGTGAAAGCATTTGATGGTGTATAAAAGATTTAGCTTGTTTCATAAGACAGAAAACGGCCCAGATGTCTCAGTAAGCTGGGGTATATAATTTATTTATTCAATAAATTTTCTTTCTGTGCTTCAGACTTATTGGACCGTGTAAAGTGCGAGCTAAAGCTTGAGGCGAAATAAATCCACAAAAAAAACCTAATAGAACCATCTATGCTACGGTATGAAATCAAAATGATTTTGATTGGCTGGTGACAAAAGAAAGTTCCAATTTGCATTGTAGGTCTTGTTATTCAAGTCATTCTCGACCTTATACAGTGCAATCTTAATGCAAAAATTTAAAGTATTCAATTAATTGCTGTTCCTTTCCATTCCCCGCTCTCTCTCTCTCTGCCTCTCTTTTCTCTCTCTCTCTATTTAGGTCATCAGCACTGCAGAGTCTCTGTAGTGGCAGCTTATTCCCTCTCTTCAAAAAACAGGTTTGTTTCGCCAGACACGCTTCATCAACGGGATAGAGATGAGGCCATTATCGAGAAAAATAATTGAAGCGTTAAAGTTCCATAAAGGGCGATCATAGATGTCATCCGTCAATTCATCTGTCCCTAGATGCAAGTCAACACGATTGGAGTGAAACATCAGATGGCTCTAATTTAAAAGAAACAAAAACAAAATCTTTTGTTGATTGCCGAGACCTGGCCGACAGGTTGCCCACTGGGATTTTAAAGATCTATAACCAAATCTCCCACAAGTGCCGGGATTAAAAAGCCCTCTCTGTTGGTTTTGCATGAATACAGTTGATTATTCACAGAGCGCCAAACCATGATTATAATCAGGATGTATTACTGTGATCAACACGGTATGACATTCAATCAGGGGTTTTAATCGAGAGAATGAACGATAGCAATCAGGTTGTTAGAGCCAAATAGTCTATTCTTGACAGAAATCCACACTATATTTACCACAAGCTATAATAAGGAATAAAATATGACTTAATTATGGGCTGTTTTGAAAATAGCTTGTTGTTCAAAAGTCAGAATTAATTAATGTCAAAAAGATAAAATATTTTTAATTGAAAAGAATTTATGACACCGTCCTTGTTAAGTCCTAGAAAGCCAACACAGTCTGATAATCTGAGGACGAAATGTGAGGATGAGAACATTTTCAGAGACCATAATGTGATTTATTTTTTTCTTAGAGGACACTAGAAAAGGACAAATGAAATCTATTCACATACTTCCATTCACTCTATTGTCTGACCGCCCCATTTACTGTTCGTGTTTTTGTCTTCATCCTGGAAACACTTCTGCACTGTGAGACTCAATATGCCCACAAGATTTAGTATTATTTTGTCTTTATTTGCATACTTAGACCTGTCTCCCCCACTTGCCTTTTATGAAAAGTCTTTCTATGAAAAACTAATTATTTGAACGATCTTATGTGGACTCTCTTGGCAAAATTTGTAAGCTGTTATGGGCCAAGCTCTGCCTGCATTAGAAGCTAAATAAACATGCACGTAGAATGGTGAATCCACTAGGCTATACATTTTAAAGCCGAGCGGTTCAAATGTTATGTTTTTTATACATTGTAGGACCAGTAGGTGGTGCTTTGCAAACGCAAATTTTTAATGACATCCTATCTGTTTGCTACGAAAGCCCTGAACCGCAACGTAAAAAAAAAAAAAAACGTTTTTAAAAAAAATTCTAGCATTTCGAGATTAAATTCAAAACATTAAGAGAATAAAGTCGTTATATTTTGAGAATAAAGTCAAAATTACAGTCTTCCGTAGAAGTTCCGTGTGTTTGTGTGTAAAGAAATGCGTTCATGAAGTCGAACTGCCTCGGACATGGATCTAAACAAAATAGTACTAGCTTTTTACTTTTATCTGGGCTTTCAACAAAAGGAAATTCTACAGGTACTAATCTACCAACATGGCATTACCATGGCGTTGCCTATAGACAAGCACAAAGACTCCGCCGGACTCAGCTTTATAATACACCAAACTGTTACCAGAAGCATAACTTCCTGTTTGGAATCCGCACCATCATATTTATGAACCCATTTGTCTAGAATGGAACCAACGAAACATCTAATCGAAAACTTTCATGAGGATTGGTCTGAACATCATCTTAGCCAAATTTGGTGAAGATCATATTAAAATTTGTGGGAGGACAGACAAAAACAAAATGGTGGACAATTTTGCATGCAGGCGGAAACTGAAACCAGCAGGAGTGTTGAATCAATCATTAAACCATAAAGCTCAGGGATTTCATTTGTAGACCACATGGTTAAAAAGTTACAAGCACTAACACAAGTGTAATTTTGAGCATGTGTCTCTGTAGTTCTCTGTTGATGCCTGAGGGCTTGTGATGGCCTACAAAACTTCTAATCCCCCATTCAGGGTTGGACGTCTCAAGACAAAAAGAAGAGGACTACCTGGAGATACAGGCCTACATTAAAGCCAGTCGGATTCCAGTTGCGAAACCTGTTCATACCATTTGTTAGTGCCTACGGGTAGGTAAAAGATTCAGTGAAGTGCCTTGAGAAAGAATCTGATTAAAAGTTATATATAAGCCTGTATATCTATATAGACACCACTGCACGGAGATTAGTGAGTTCCACATTAACCCACCGACCAACACTAGCACCGGCTTCTCTGTTGGGAGCTTGAGAGTCAGACTCACCTCTCTCTGAGCAGTCCTGTTTTCATTTGTGTTGTGCATTGTCTAAATTGCTGTTCTTGCAGGCCAGGTCACGCTTCCGTTCACCGGAATACGACCGTGACCCGTGTGCCGCGCACCGGCTCAATCCGCTACTTTCTCACCGTAGTGCTCGGCAGAAAGAGAATGATGAATGATGAATGGGTGTGGCGTAAGCGCGTGTGTACGTGTGTGTGTGTGTGTGTGATGATGAGTCTGCAGCAGAGGACACCCTGTCCATTCCACCATACACACACACACACACACACACCAACCCAAACAAGACTCAGGGGTCAGTCGCACATCCCAGCAGTGCAATCTGTCCCACCAAATTGGGTTTGATAACGGATCGACTACAGCAGAAGCGGGCATAATAGCTTCCTCATGCCCCGCGCTGTCTGTGCCCGTCCACTGCCAGATGTCTCCCTTAAAATTTGATATATAACCGTCTCTGCTTAAGGCCGAGTAAAAAAAAAGCAGATTTAAAACGCAACGTTCTTTCTGTTATTGTGGCAAAACATACGCATTATTTTTTAATGTTATCGTTCAATGGCAAATATTAGGCTAGAGTTTTTATGAATCAGTCTGACACTTTAATAGCGGGTTTGTAGAATTTTAATAGGATGAAAGATATTATAAGCCATATCTGTCAGCCCACACTGAAAATCTCCCACATAACCCACCCGGCAATGACAATCGAAGACATTATCATGGAGAAATTTGCTCCATGAAGAGTTTTATCTCCATCAAAGGGGGTCATTAAAACTTCTTAAACTAAACGCTCTTGAATAAAACTTTCACAGAGTACAAGGTAATCCAAGTTTGATTGTACCAGTGCTTTCTCCCTATTAAATAAAGCAAAGAGGGCCAGTGATATAGGCCTACTACTCTTTCTCATTTGAACACCCATCTATCCCAGTATTTCATTTTGAGCTCTCATGACTATTCCTCACATCCATTTTTAATCGCTTCGTATATTTATTTTTAATCTCAATACTGATCTAATCTGATTCTTAAAGAAAGAAACTTTCTTCTATAGGCCCTAGTTTGACTTGCACAACTCAACTTTGACAGATTATGATTTTTCTATTATGCATTGCATTTTTCTTCTGAAACATATACCAGCTATTTCTTTTGGATTAAGGGTTTGTTTGATAGTATTTGCCCGTATACGATTAAAGTCATTGGGGTCCAAAACAACATGGAACCCCATTGACTTTCATTGACAAAAAATACTGAGATTTTTTTGTGTTGCACAGAAGAAAGAAATGCATAAAGGTTTGCCTGGTGGACAATAAAACAGGCAAACCTGGAGGAAAATTACATGGTAGACTAAAAGTTTACCTGAGGTTTTATATTGCTGGAGTTGGGCTACTTCAGCTCTGTTTGTGGAAACTTCGAATAAACAGACATCATTATTTCACTGCATTATAAATGACAGAGGCCTTTTGTTGACTGATTCAGTTAATCAATGCTCCCCTAATATGACCACTTTAAAGAAATCAAAAGCTCATAGAAAAGAAAAAGGGCCATTAGATGAGTTCAAGGCTCAGTCTTAAAGTGCTCGCGAAATAACACACAATTTCACGATAAATTATTTGTATATATTTTCTGGAAAAGTTCTGCAGATCAATTTGAGACGGCTGAGCTTTGCAACGCGTCAATCTGTCCCTCAGCATCTTAAAACACTAATGCATCTATTTTGGATGAAGCACTTCTTACCCATTGGCTGTTGATGGGCTTCAGATAAATGAGTGAGAAAGCAATCTTATTTTCTCTAAGAGAGGCTGAGAGAGGGAGGATGAAAATCGTATAAACTGCAATGGGATGATGGAACCGAAAAGCTGAGGTTTGCATATTGAGGTTTTGAAAGGATGTGTTTTAGGGAATCAGAGCTGTACATCATTCCTAACCTGTTTTTGTTGTTGTTTGAACTGTGCCAGTTTTGCACGCAGTATTTCAGCGCAAAAAAAAAAATCACCTATCACCCACATTCCCTGTTAACCCATTTGTATTTAATTAATTATCACTCTTTTAGCCAAACTAAACAATGCATGCAGCATGTCCAAACAAACAATGCAATCATTGTTTTTTCCTGGTACTTTCTAGAATGTTCCACCAGAATGTGCAGGGAATTATATAAGTTCATGTCTATTTAAACAGGGGAGCAAAGCAACTAGAGATGTTTGAACAGCTGGAAACAGCTTTGAGTACCCCTCTACAGTCTTATTTCGAGTACAGTTTACTCTACAGTAATATTTTCAGAGAAATGAATGCGTGATACTGCTTTCTGAAATTGTTTAGTGTTCATAGTGAATTGCCCATCTGTCAGATTAAGACAAATCCTCCATTAACAAATGAAATGAAATGTCCAGATGGCATGGAAATAACACTTCAGTATGTTACCGAATGTCACAGGAGAGTTGTTAATGCTATTTAATTTTTACTGAATATGATATTGTTTTTTTAATAATCGTGATTTGTTGAATTCTGTTGAATTCAAGGGCAACTTGTACACCTTCGTGCATCAATGTTTTATTGTTCATAGACTATTTTTATGTCTTTGCTATTATACTCTCGAGTATCATACACTGATATTATTTAAGACTTCACATTATTCGTTTTTCCCTTCTCTGACATATATTTGGAACAGTAGAATTTGTCCTCAGAGATCAGATTTAAGAGAAATCCTCAGTCTTTCTTACATCAGTGTGTGCCTTCCTACAAAAGTCATAATAAAACTAATAAGAGAAAACAATCGATGAAAGCTCTGGGGGTCTATGTTATCGGTTTTCAGATATTAGTTCTGAAAGTTCTCCGAATATCCATTAATAGAAGCTTGAAAGGATTTCTTCCACCCCAACCCCCCTTCCCCACCCCCCTTTTTTATTTTAGTAGTATATAATGAACAGCCATGGGGAAATTATTTTAAGAATACAAAAGTACATCTCTTTTAAAGCTGCTGTCATTTAACTTAGTAATTTTATTTAATAATAATATGTAAATGTCTGTAGGCCTATATAGGCTACCTGAAAAAATAGCACTTAAAATTGACTAAAAATGCCAAATTAGTTAAATATTCATTTTTAATTTTCCAAGGTTGGACACGCTTGTTGAATTTAACATGAAACAGAATGAGGTCACGTGACAGTAATCTGAACTATTATTTGTGGAATAATGTTCACTTCACTTTCAAAAGAAATAGTAGGCAGTATGCAGTATATATTGTGCAGCCTATTCAACATGTTTGTATTCCATCCAAACATACAGTCATTTTTACAATTCCAAACCTTGCATTTGTACACTGAAAAAATTATACGATCAATAAGTTGTTTTTAACATATGTTTTTACATTGCTTTAACGCATCAAAATTAGTTAAGCATTTTTGTACATTTTTGTATATGAATCTTATACAAGATGCAACAATTTTTTTTGTTTGTTTAATGTAATTTAAGTTGAAAATATATATATATATATATATATATATATATATATATATATATATATATAGCTGCGAGCAGCGATTACGGGCCCAAGCCGGTGGCACCGCAACCCCGGTGCCTTTAGTTACCTAAAGGCACCGGGGTGGCGGTACCACCGGCTTTGGCCCTTCATCGCTGCTCGCAGCTATATTTATATATATATATATATATATATATATATATATATATATATATATATATATATATATATATATATATATATAAAGCCGGTGGCACCGCCACCCTGGTGCCTTTAGGGTTATTGTGCACGACGTGCAAAAACGTAACCCTGCTTTGACTGTCGAAAAGAAGTGTGCTGTAGAGCTTGTATCAGTGTGGGCTCTGCAAAAGTGTGCATTGAGGGCACATATCAACCACAAAGTATGCGAGAGCAACCTTCTGAAAGGTCAGGTCTACATCCAGGTCTACATCTGCCGTGTGTTTACATCATAGTAGTGAAGTTTGAAGCAATCAGGTGATTTCAAAGCTTTTTGAAAGTGACAGACTTCCTGCTGCCAGTTGGTGGCGCTATAACCGGGGTGGCGGTGCCGCCGGCTTTGGCCCTTTCATCGCTGCTCGCAGCTATATTTATATATATACACACACAAACACACACACACACACACACACACATATATATATATATATATATATATATATATATATATATATATATATATATATATATATATATATATACATAAATATATATATATTGTTTTTTTAAGAGACAAGACAGAATATTACTTGCCTGATCTGATTAGAAAAATAGTGTTGTGTGTGTGTGTGTGTGTGTGTGTGTGTGTGTGTGTGTGTGTGTGTGTGTGTGTGTGTGTGTGTGTGTGTGGCGTAATTGAACAATGTAGACATAAAAACATACTCCGTCCTTTTGTTCATACAGGACATTATTCAAACTGCAAAGTGTTTACTTATATTTGTGTACACTTGCAATAAAACACAACATTGTGCTTTTGTCAAGCTATAAACTCTTGTCAAACTGTAAACTACAACTGTCACCCAACCAAAATCTCTTACACACACACACACACACACAGTTTAAAAGCAAAAAATATCAAACAATCCTATTTAAAAACAGTCTGTGGGAGCCATCTTTTGGACATTCATCATATCGCATTGGTTTTCATTTCTTGTCATCAAACAGAGCCCTAATCTGTTTATTTTTTCAGTTACACATTCTACATTGATTAAAAAAGAAAAATCAAATGTGTTTTTATTTTATACAGAAATAAATAATCTATCATTCAGATGAGAATAAAGTTAGTGTTAGTTCAAATTTTAAGGAAAACAAATATATGATCTGAAATATAGCACATTCATTTAAAATTCATTCAGGTTCAATTACCAAACATACAATCTTAATGTAATTTAAAGCAAACAATACATTTAAAATATATGGGTTGTATGACTATTTTTTAATATAAAAAGATATATATCCAAAAAGACAAGGCCTAAAGTTTAACAAGGGTTAAACTCTTATCACTGTAACAGACACAATCACACACACAATCACACACACAAGTCAAATCACTTACATTTTACATGCAATATTGACTTTTTTTCTGTTTCAGCAGCGAAAATAGTTAAACAAAGATCACAGCAGAACCATCGCGCATCTCACAGCAACGCGT